AATATCACATAACAAATTAATGTTTATAAAATCAATGTGTAATAAAATATTGGCCCCAACAGGTTAAAACTAGTTAAGGATATCTTAGATCCACTGAATGACTTGGCAAATAGCATTGGAAACACTGGCTGGATATATATACAGCAACATGAGCTAGTTTTGTCCTGTCAGAAGATTGTTTTTAGCTCATCATCTGCTCATAATATATAGAATGCTGTTTTCATCACTTTTTTCTGTTCAAAATTTTTATCTGTGTGGAGCATGAACAAAACAAGCTTGGCATATGGTATTTCTGAAATTTTATATGTTTATATATAGCATAAAAGTATAATACATTGCTTTTTATATAAATTGCAATCATTCTTATACTTTCCAGTTTCACCTTCTTCTTAGAAGAAACATACGAAGCCATCAAGCCGGGGTCTGTTTCCAATCACATTAATGCCTAATCATCTCACGTGCTCTTGCAAAATCTTCCAAGAGGCAATTACACAGCACAGGAATTCATTTCAGCCTCTCCAAATCCCAAAGTCAAGAATTTCATCCAAGCTTCTAAACTACATTCATTTTCTAAGAATAAAACTCATTTTCAAAACCTGTAATTTCTAGGAACAAAGACCAAATGCTCCCTTTCATGCATACCATGAAAGAAAAGGATGCAGTGAGGCCCCAGTAGTGATTTCTGTGCCACCACTACTCTGGACCTCTTCTTGAGCTATGACCAACCTCCACTCTTTCCAGCTCTGGTCATCAAAGTCTGCTTGGAACTGTGGAGTTCCTTAGGCCTCAGCCCAGGAACCTTCTCCTTCTCTGTGAATGGGACATTTTAAAGAGCTTATCCAGTAGAGTGAGGCACAATAAACCACTCTGGACTCAGGATCAAGAATTATAAGTACCAGTTGTGCCTCTGCCCACTAGTAGTGAGAATCTGGACCTATCTTGCTATCTCTGGACAGCAATTTACTATCTGCATATGCACAATTAAAATTAGAGAAAAACTTAAGACTTCTCTAAGCATTAAAAATCCAAGGGACTATAATTCTACAAATTTTGAGATGATAATTTAAAAATATTGTATATTTCTTCTGCTATAATGCTTTGCCAAAATCTCAAACTCATTCTAATAGTCATTAATTCATTCACCAACTATTTATTTAGTAGCTATTAAGCATGAGACACCATGATATGCTTTGAGGCTGTATTGGTCAATTGAGGCATGGCCCTTTACTTTTGACGTTTACCAATGTAAGAATGATAATGAGCAAAAAGCAAGAAAATAAATATGGCATTTCACCTGATGCTGAGTAGTAGAAAATAGAGGGAGGGAGAGAGAGAGAGAGAGAGAGAGAGAGAGAGAGAGAGAGAGAGAGAGGGTGCAGTGACATGCCCTCTCTGAAGAGATGGCATTTCAAGCCAAGGCCTCTAGAGATGGGAAAGAGCCTGATGTTTGAACAGGAAAAAAGAATGACATGTATGGAGATACTGAAGCGAGATAGTTCTTGATGTGTTGAAGGAACAAAATAAAGAGACTAAAGGATCTACAGCAGTGAGGATAAGAGGAAGAAGAATAAAGTGGTATCTCTCTCCTTACCATGTTCACATGAATGAAATATAGGACTTAAATCAGTGGTTTCCAAACTTGTCTTTCCATTAATAATCTTCTAAACATTCCAAAGCTCAGGCTATTTCCCAACTCAGTCAAGTCATAAACTCAAGGGGTGGAACATAGACACTGTGATTTTTTTTCCCAAGCTTCCAAATTACTCCATAACATGGATAGATTTAAAGTCATTGACTCATATCAATTTTAATTCTAAGTGCCTCCTTGATTCATCTATGAAATGATGAGATTCCACTGAAAGAGGTCAAGTCTGCTTGCTTTTACTTAGGTGATTTCTATATGCAGATCCAGGGTCATTTTTATCCCCCTACCCCCGGTCAAGTCCTCTCTCTCTCTCTCTCTCTCTCTCTCTCTCTCTCTCTTCCTCTCCCTCTCTCATTTTTATCCTAGGACCCTGTATCTTTCTAGCCAGGAAGGATTCTTGAAATCCTAGAACTTCTCTGCACACTTTTGATCCAAAGTGTCCAGCCTTGCAAAAGAACCCCTTCTTTTCCTACCTGAATAACCACACACTGCAGCATCACCCTTCAATCCATCCTCCCCTAATGACCTTTCTGAGCTGAATTCCTACTGCATACCCAAACCACATCCATCTTTCAAAGCCCTTCTTAAGTGCTGCCTCCCCTAGGATGGAAACCTCTCAAACAAGCCTAAGTGTCTGTGACAACTAATCTGCAAAGTTTTACAGTCCTCATAATCCATATGATGCAATCTATAACTGGATTATTTACAGGCATATATTATACATTGGTCTTATCCCTCCAAATGGATGTTAAATAAAACAAACACATTTTATTAATCCTTTAGATATATTAAGTGTTCAAACATTGGCAGTAGCAATGGTAGCATTACTGTTGGAAGTAGTGAAAGTGGCAGTGACTTTAGCAGTGTAGTGCAGTGGCAATAGTTCTGGCCGCAGGAGTAGTGACAGTGATAACAGTAGGACATAAAGGCTCCATGTTAGCCAGGAACATTGCATACATCATCTTATTTATGCTAAAACAGTCCTACAAAGAAGGTTTGAGTCTTCTTACTTTACAAATAAGAAAGATGATCTTACAGAAGTTGAGAGTAGAATGGGGCTGGAGAGAGGAAGGGAGGTTGACTGACGGTACTAAATTATAGTTAGATAAAAATAAGAAGTTCTGCTAGGCTACTGTACAGTAGGATGACTATAGATAATAATTATATAGTTAGGATTGTGATTGTTTTCACCATAAAGAAATGATAAATGAGAAAACTGATACGTTTAACAAGATTTAAACATTATACAATGTATACACATGTAAAAACATTACATAATATCCATTAATATGTAAAATTTGTGTGTTTCTTTGTGTATCAGTTAAAGTAAATTAAAAGGCTGTGGCATAGGAAGTTAAAGGAACTTAAGGGGGATGACATTTCTAAGTAATCACCATTAGTTCTTTACAAAACTTACAATAAGTGGACCTAGATTAATTGGTTGATTGATATGTACAGTTGCATGTTATAGAGGATTCCCAACAGAAAGTTAGCCTGGGAGTTGTTCATTTTTTCAGGCCAACTTGTGTCTACCATTATTGGCCCATGAGCAACATATATGAAGTAAGATACTCCAGCCATTTATAAATAAGATCCTTTTCATTTAAAGGCATCTATTATAACAAATGTGCCAGTAGATGCCTCTTTCTTCATCCGCAAGGAGGGAAGGATTTCTCTGGATGCTGGGTCACCAAATCCCAACCCTAGATATTTGAAGCAACAAATGCTGATTGTGACTCAAAGAATCACATGATTTAGAAGTTTATCTAGAAAAGTATAGAGCCATTTTATATGCAGAACTGATAATCCACCAACTGATAAAATGAAGAGAGAGTCTGGATCTTAAACACTTTCTCTGCTCTTCCCTTAATTTTTCAAAAGAAAGCACTTGTGCTGGCTGCTGATAAAGTAATCACTATATGAAGGATATGATATCAAAATTTTTGATTGGACATGTGTTGGCAATCCTGATAGAGAACAAAATTGCTATAGCAACAGAAATAATTATCAGTATCTTTTTAAGATTAACATGTTTGGAGAAATACTGCTGTGTAGGAATGTAAATAAAAGTGGGTCGGAGGGTGAGGAAAGAAATAATGTATGGCAAGGTACTAATCAAAGGTAAAATTGAAGAGTATATTTAAATTCCTATGTTTTTACCAGGTCATTTTAAAATTAATTTCTTTTGAAAAGATCAGTATCTATGTGTTAGCAATATAAACAAAAAGAATCACATGGAAAAAAAAATGCAAAACATAGCCCCTAGAAGTTACTCCTACTTATTTCAGAAATATATTATTTAACTTATTTTTTGTGTGGTAGAATTCACTTTTCTGGCTAACTCTGATTTTTAATATTATAATTAGTTTGACTTTCTTGAGTTCTAATCAAGAGCTTTGAGCAAACTTATCTAGAAATGTATTAATCAAAGACAATGTGAAAAATCTGACTATAAATTAATCATCAAGAATAAGGAAAAATAGCGGATTGAATACCTTCTCAATTGCCCCAAGCCTCTCAAAATGGAAAATTACTAAATATTTTAATATGGTATAAAGGTGGTAAAACCCAGCCCATCACTTCATTTCCAATCTTGAGTTCTGAAGGTAAAGGAAAATTTCTCTCAATAACTGAAGAAGTTTACAAATTTACAATAAAACCTTTTTTTCGATGTTGGGGTCAAATTTAAGTCTTCAAAGTACTGGATAGTGTTCTACCACTGAACTACAACACTAGCCTTAAACCATTTTTTAAAAACAAATCATTCACTATTTTTCTTTAGTTTTTTCTTTTTTTAACCTACGATTACCCAACTAAATTTATAGAGTCAAGATGTCTTGAGATTGACTGCATGTCAGTACATTTACGAATAGCCAAGTGGCCAGCATTTTGTGTTGGCAGACAGAAGCCAGTCATCCTAGATCAGGTTTGCAAGGGAATTTTTTATTTTCATTCCTCTTTATTTTCTCTTTGGCTTGAGGAAAATTTGAACCAAATAGCCAGCAGGCAATACACAATAACACTTAAAACACACATGTGAAAACTTAAATCAAGTATGAAGAAAGGCAGAGTTACTGAATTTTTGTATCTTTTTAAAAGCTTAATAAAATTCTAGCTCGCAATATAATTATGCTAAAAACTTCTCCCAGGTTCTAGGAAAAAATACTGACAACTGAGCTTATTACTGTATAAAAAGAAGATAATTCAATGCACTGATCTATTATTAGTTAACTAAATGATCCTAATATTATGGTATTGAAAAGGGTATATATGTGTGTGGATGCTTTTCATATGAGAAGATCATATATGATAAAACTGTTATATGGAAATATATATGACCAGATCAGATCCTTACCTTTTCAAGTATAGCATTGCCTTGATGAGGACTGATGTTATGCTGGCTTATTTCTCTCTTATATTTATATTCATAAACTTGGTCAGTGATATTAATCAGAAGAGTTGATGGACTGAAGTTCAATTTTCCACAGTCATAGACAGTTCCACTTTCAATGTCAGTTGGTGCTGTAGCATATCGTAAAATTAATCCCATTATGAGACCTAAAATAAAGAATAAATGATTGCACTATAGGAAGATAGTTTAGAATGTTCACTATTAGATATTTTTAAATATATAACTTGGAACCTTCAGAAGAGGCAAGGGAAAGAGTTGGGTCATTTGCTCATAAATACCAGTTCAATGGAATGTATCATTAATATTTATACTGGATACTACTGCTTGAATATTCAGCATGATTTTTTTCTTTCTAAAAGACCACACATTATGGATAGAAGAGATGGCCACCCCTACTATCCACCGAAGAATATCAAACCTTTCTATGATACAAACAAACTAATCTAACCAATTAGAGGATGGAATGTTTCTGCTCTGTAGCTCTGCACATATCTAACTTAGACCTTTCAGATCAAAAAGAAGCATTTATAGTCCCCTTTTGTGGTGACAGATTGCCTTGTTCTCTCTCAAGACATGAGCAAGGCAATATTTTCTCCATTTTTACTACAAGGCAACCTTTGACCATGAAGGAATTTAATACAAGGACACAGTCTGCATACTAGAGATGGTAGGACCCAGATACAGACAGACCTCAGGTCCTGCATGTCATCTCACCCACTGAACCTACCAACAACTTCACAGTTACCCTAGTTTTAGACTTTTTTAATGTATTATAATATATTCTCTAATTTTTACAAACAATTTGAATCAACTTTCTGCTTACTTATAACCAAATGCATTCTAACGATACATTCCTTTTCAGGATGAGTTGAATCCAAGTGACGATCCTTGATTTTTAAATTTATAACTTTGTTAGGTTGCTCATGGGAATCTGATAATTGTGAACCCTTTGAATAGGGATTTGCTAACAAACAGCAAGGAAATTTTATAGGCTTTATGAGCTGACAATTTAAAATCAGGATTGATGTATATGTTTGGGGATAAATAATCCACAGTTCACTCTTTAAAAAATCAAATTTTAAGTTTTACCTCTTTTACAAATCCAATGATCTAATAAGCTTCCATTTGCTAGCTGCATATCTTTTGCCAGAAATTTATAGATTTAAAATAAAAATTCAGTCCCAGTTCTACAGGAGCTCCAGTTTATATAAGTGAACTCATAAGCAAACAATAATAACACTGCATAACATGTGCTCTGACAGCCAGGAAACATTCTGTTACGGAGAGGAGACACCCTGAACCCTGTGAATTATGGAAAGGTTCAGGTGAATCTTAAAGTTCATATAACATTTGCCTAGATGAGCTGAATCAGAGAAGAAACTGGAACAACAGCTGCACATGTGGGTGGCAGTGCATAATAACAAGCAGCTGTCCATCACTAGGACCTAAATCTCTCCACGTGTAGAAGTGTTGTTGGGAAGTGACTGCTAAGCCTGGTCTTTGTTTACCTGCTTGTTTTGCATTTGCATTTGCCCAGTTGTCTTGCATTTGCATTTGCATTTGTTCCATTTGCCCCGGAACATCAGGGCTACAGCATTGAAGTAGGTGATACTGTTACCGCTCTTTTCTCTCTTCTATTTTGTATTAACTGGGTGGAAACAAATCAAAGGCTCTAAAATAGACAGAGTCTCTGAGTTTAAAGAGCAAGTGTCCTTGAGATAATAGGTACAGGAGAGCTGTCTATGAACCAGGGATACTTACACTGGGCCATTGAATGAAAAATTAACTTCTAATTATAAAATCATTGACATGTTGATGTTTCTGTTAGTAAGTGTTAATGGTAACTAATTAACATAATGTATATACAGAGAGACTTAGGACTTGCGTACACTTCTAGCATAGGAAGAAAATAAATGGAGAGAAAAAAGAATTCACAACTGTGTAGACAATAGGTAAGAAGGAAAGGCTAGGTCATAAATAGACTCCTCTGTCATGCTTTAACTTTTAACCCAGTGGTGATGTAGATCTAGTGAAAGATTTTAGGCAAAAGAGTAAAACAATCAGATTTTTACATAAGAATTAGCACTTTGGCAACAATGTGGAGAACTAACTAGAGTGACAGGTAAAAATGAAAACAGATTTCTCTCAAGAATATTTTATCTTACTTATTTTTATTTCAGTGTTTGGCCCATTCCTCCATAATATTTAGACATATTATATCCTAACTTTTGTGAGAAAATAAGTGACAGAGGACCTGTTACTTTTACTGAGAATGTGATCTGTACAGAACAATAGGCACCTGTTGAATAAAACTAGTCAAGGCACCCTGTTGAATAAAACTAGTCAAGAAAGAGAAGGAAGATACATCATCTGTATTCCAAGTGGTTTGGAGTGCTCGTGGAAAAATGCTACCTTTTTTTTTTTTTTTTTGGTATCAGGGATGGAACTTGGGACCTTACACTTGCGCTTGTGAGGCAGGCAGAGGAACCACTGAGCTAAATCCCCAGCCCAAAATGCCACTTTTTAAACACTAATGTCCTAAAAATTATTCAGCGGGTATTATGAATGATACAGTTGCCATTCTGTCTTACTCAAGTGAGATGCAAAGAGAGGAAGCCCAAGATAGTATCTGCATGGGGTCTGAATGGAAGAAAAAAACCATATAATGTCATTTAAACATTATAATGTCATTAAACATGTCAGTTGGTGAAAGATTTCTTTTTGCAAAAATGCTTTCAAAGAAATAACAAAAATGAACATGAAGTGTCCACTGTTACTTCTCAACTAAGGAAACCAAGTCTTTGTCATAATGTTAAGTGCCTAGTATTTAATGTGGTTAAATTCACTGAGGCCTCAAAAATTAAATAGTTCTGTCTGTCCCTCTGCACCATCTCTGGTCCCAGTCTTTAAGAAGAAGCATACAGTAATAAATGATGAGGTTGCTTGCAACCAGAAGTGACCAGATATATTGGCCCTGAAAGTGCATCTCTTATGATGAGGAGCTCAGCTGACCAATGGGTCTCAGCTCCTGGGCTCTGGAGTCCATCACCACCTTCACTCTGGGGTTTCCCAATCCCTGTTCAAAGGCAATGACTACAAACAGCAGGGATACTCAGGCAGGGAGATGGGGATTCCTCTGAAGGACAGCCATGACTCAGAGCCCTCCATAACTCTTAACATATCTTTCTTAGAACTGCACTACACCCTAAGAATTCCTGCTCAGCCTTTCTTCCTTCCCTCTGTCCACAAGTGCTGGGCCTGCATCAGGGTCTGACAGCTGTCCCAGGATCCTCAAGTTTCCTCCCCACTATATCTCAAAGAATGTCACCCATTAAATCTTTTTAATAACTGATCTCTTTCAACACCCTCTGCTTAGAGGACCCAGCTTAACACAGGAGCCAAAAGGCACTAGCCCTTACTTTCCTCAAAACCCCAAGAAATGAGAACAATCAATATCTTGGCAGATTGCAAAGGTCAGGGGGAATATCACAACACCGTAGTGAACTGCTTGTTACACCCAGATGCCCATTTGTGCACCTCTGCCACAGGAACAGAGACTGGAAAATCCTTACTTGTCAGAGGCTAGACATTTGCCCACAGAGATTCCTAATGCTTTTTATGGTCAAACTCAGTGCTTTGGCTATATGTTGGCAGAACTATGGAGTGCTGAATTGATGCACAATACCACAAGACTATATGATAACAGATGATATATAAAGGGAGATTGAAGGGGCATTCTAATGAGAAGGGGTTGTTTTTATACCCACACAATGTTACTGGACAAAGAAAGTATCAGTCACTATTGCACAGAAGGAAAGAAAACACTGGCTGTCATGGCTTATCAGCACAAAATCACCACTAAACCATGAAAATAGAGCTATACTTGCCAGGAGAGAAAAGAGCCCAGCTGCTGCCATAAAGCAATACCTACCCAGCACATATATGCACAGCTCCGACCCCCTGGTTGTGGTCCACGCACACATAGGATATACCCCTTCGCCCACTGCTGGCATTGTCTTCTCCAGGAAGAATCTCTAGTTCAGCTGTATCTCTTGCTTCTTCAATTTTGGGCACCTGGACACTTAGGGTGGCAGCAAGGTAGACCTGCTCTCTGTGCAACACGGACCTCCCTCCAACGCATACAAGCCCTTGGTGGAGACTAAGCAAAGCACTTCATCCCTAAAGCACCCACTGTCCTAACAAGTCCTTCTGGGCTCCCATCTGGGAACCTGTGCCCTGATGGAATCTGTGCTCATTGAGCTCCTTCAGTTTTGAGTTGTTACAGTACTTAGAATTTGAACCACACATTTTAGGAGCCAGTTTTATAAAAACATATTATTTATGTTGCTCTGCAGACTTTGGGTTTGTTTCTTTGACTATAAAATGAGACTGATCAGTGCCAAAACCATGTACTATTCTTCTTTGGTTTTCATATAGAAAAGACCCCTAGGGTAGAATTATAGCTGAGCTTTCTCCAAGTACAAAAACTTCCCTGGAGTCAGGAAGAAAGGATCTTCCATGTAGTCTATCAGGTAACAACATTTTCAAGTGTCATCTGTAAGGAACATCACAACAAATGCTGTGATGTTCCTGTCCTTGCAGAGCTCTGGCAGAGCTATCAGTATAACTGCCATTTAACAGATGCCTGACATAAAATTGCCACTGTGATGTTTGGCAGGTCAGGATGGAGTGTGGGGGCAGCCTCATGTTCTCATGCCCAGGAACATTTATAAATATGAATCTTGTCTTTTTGGACTGGCTCTCATTTCTTTATCCACATTGAAAATACAAAAAAATTCCACTCTCTCTCTTACTGTGCTCTTTCTGCTTTCATGCCAAAGACATAAAAGGTATTGCTCTGGAGCTTGTCAGTTATAAAAGAAAAGAATACAAATTAGTCTTTTTCCCAAAATATTTGTCTTAGTTACTTCCCTTGTTGCTGGGGCATAATATTAGACACCCACAAATTGAAGGAGGAAAGGTTTATTTTGGCTCACAGTGTATAGAGATTTCAGTCCACAATAGCTGGCTCCAAGGCACTGTGGCATGGCAGAGTGATGTGGCAGAGAAGAACTGAAGACAGGAACCAGAGAAAGAGATCAAAGGAGCAAAGAAGGATACACTGCTCTAGGCCACATCTCCAGTA